AGAGCCGAGATCAGTTGAAACATCATTTTCCTCGGGGACAGAGAGGAAAGAGCTCCCTTCAAACACATCATCCCATGAGACTCATTAAAGGCTCATCAATTACAGCGAGAGCAAACAATTCAGGGGAAAGCTATCATAAGCCTTCCTTTGGATGGCTGTCATTAGCAGCCCTCCGCTGTGCGCTGCCTCTCCCCAGTGCCAGCTCGGGTGAGCGGAAAGGGAGCAGGGGGGGCACCACTGCCAAGCCAGTGATGGGAGGGAAAGCAGGAGCCCGGTGGCCCAGGAGCCAGCAGGAGGGGACCAGGTCTCCACAGCATCCTTGGGGCCATGTGGCCGTACAGTAGCATCCTCATGGCAAGCACAGGGAGGAGATGAGAGCACAGGCTGGGCTGGAAGGAGACTTGGAAGGGAGGTGGTGGCCCACTGTAGCGGACTTCTGTTGCCCCAAGTCCTCACCCAGGTTCTTTTTTAAGGAGCTCGGGGCAAGGCAGGATTGGGCCATGGTGGGAGCTGGGTGAGAGGTGTATGGGGACAGAGCAGCTCTCTGGGTCTCCACCCAGCAAGCGGTTCCTCCAGCTCTTACCCAGCACAGCAAGCGGGGTCACGGCGTCAGGCCTGAATGGGGGGTGCCAGCACCCCAAGGTCTGTCTGGCTTAGCCCCACAGGGAGGGAGAGGGATGAAGAGATGCTCTTTGCCTTTCTCTGCCTTACTTCCCTGCTCTGCAAGTGGGGCTACGGACAGAAAAGAGGCTGGAAAACACATAAGGATCCTTGGAAGGAAAGCAAAGGGCTGGGGTGGCTTTTAAAAATTATTTCAAAAGTCCTTATTAATGAAAGCTCAGGGACAGGGGCTGCTTTCCCACTCCCAGCGTGGCTCCTGCAGGTTTGCAGCACTCACCCTCGGCTGCACCCCCTTTCAAAGCCTGCGCACGGGCATTTCCTTCCCTCACACGCGGGCTTGGCACCAGATGCCTCTCCAACCGCTTGCTGCTGTGACCTCCAGGATGCTGACTTGGAGAAATGCAGGGACGGCAAACTGTTCTTTATGGCTGGGAAAAAAAAAAAAAAAGAAAAAAAAAAAAAAAAAGACACTTTCCTTTAAACTTTCCTTGGCGCTCCAAGCTCCGTGATGTTCCCTGGTGGAGGCATTGGCAGCATCAGACCACGCTGCACCACGCTGAGGGATGGCAGCAGCTGAATGGCCCACACTAAAATAAACTCGTAAATACCCCGTCGTGCAAATGGTAACATGTTGGGCCAATCATTGCTCCAGCAACTTTTGCTGAGGAACAGCCTGAGCCAGTTTCTGTTTAACGCAAAACGCAGTTGTGAGCACTTACTAACAGCCCAGTGCAGGCCTTGGGCGTCCCCAGGCCATGGAGGGTGCCTGTGGGTGCTGCAGCTCCTGCTGGGTGTGCACTGGGGCTGCTCTCCTCCAGGCTGTGCCCCACCACGGCCGGATCCTACGTGGGCGCTGAACGCTCACCAAGAAACAGCGCCATCACCGCTAGCGTTGACCCATGAGCTAGAGAGGAGAAATGCTCCCAGCTCTTCAGACCACCTCCGGAGCCAAAGAGACCATATTGCAACCAGCCCTTTGCTGGAGCAGCCCTGGGACTGGAACGGGGCCATCGCTGCCTTCTGCAGGACACAGCGCAGGTGTCTGCCCCACTGCTGCTCTTTAAGCCTCATTGCTAAGTAGCTCCTAACCTTTCCCTTCATCCTCTCTTTCCTGCGATGGCTGGCCGCCCGAGGAAGATGAGCGGAGGCAAGCAGGACTAGCAGCTCCCACCCAGGGGACTGGGCTAATGTGATTTACTCCAGTCTCCACCAGCTGGATCTTGGCTGGGAGAAGATGTGCACAGACCGTCGACAAGTGCGTGTCCTTGGGCTGCAAGCCCAGAGGAGGAGGCAGAGAAGCCTGAAGAAGGGGTTAAAGCCAAGCCTCCGAGCGTGAACAGCAGGGAGGCCCGGATGCAGAAACCTTCACACAAAATGGGGTTGGCAGTCGGGGCTGGTGGAAGGTGCTTGGCTGTTCGCTATTAAATAATGCAGCCTGATTGATTGGGCTGAAAAGTGCTGTGCTGCGGGGTCAGCTTGCTGGGGTTATAGTTCTCTGCTTAGATTGATGATCCTCAAAGGTCGAATTCAGAAAGCAATTCCCTGGTAAAATTGATCCTTTGGATATCAAAACTTTTGCACAGTAGCGAAGGGCCAAACAGCAAGGAATATAAGTGACCCAGGCGCAGGCAGTCAGGGTGACAGGCTGCCTCTGCTTTCTCTTTATTTAATTTTCCTTGTTTACACTGATTAGGAAGTGAGAGTCTTCTCTGGGAAGAGCAGTGCTCCATCAGCCCTGCACGCAGTGGCTGGGGGACATCCATGAGCACCCACCCCTGTCCCCATCCCACTGGCAGGGGAGCATGCGGGTGCCTTTGCAGGGGCAGGAGGCAGCTGGGGGCTGTCCCGGGAGCTGGTGCTCAGCTCCCAGCCCTCCTCAGCAGCAAGCGAGCAGTGTGTGTGTACAAGCAGGCACGTCTGACTGCCTCCTGCACGCATCCGTGCCTCGCTCTCCCGGTAGTGAGAAGGCTGGGTCCCGCTGCTTGGCGGAGGTTTTGTAGCTGGAGCCAAATCAACGGTGAGCGGATTTCACCCTCCTGTACGGCAGCAGCTTGGAGCCAGCAGAAGCTCCCCAAAACAGCTGCTTGGCCCTCGGCCGGGGATGCCAGGAACAAGGATGTGCTACGGGCGGAGGGGGTGATGGAGGCTGCCCCAGGCCACTGCAGGGGTTCAGGTGGTGGTGACCCAGGGCTGATGTCCTCACTGCGAGACTAGCGGGGTCAAGGACAGGAGCCAGGCGCTACCCTCCACATCATCCCAGAATTCAAAGAAAACAAGAGGGATGCCAGGCCCTGCCTTCCTTGTAGCCCATCCCCTGGGGCTCTTAAACTGCCCCTCGGCTGGATTTTAAGACTGCGCCCTGGAGCTGGCTCCATCCCCTTGCTCCTGCCAGCCGTAGGAGGGAGAAGAGCTGCAGCTCCCAGACAGAAGCCTTTGCTCTGATTCAGGCTGGGCCCAGAGCGGCTGCGGTGAGGCTCTGACCTGCTTTAACCTGCTATCTTGCCTGCTTGCCTCCCGTCTGCTCATTTTGAAGCGAGACAAGGAGGCTGCGCCGGGTGGACACTGAATAATTCAGAGTCAGGCTCCGCAGCACCCCAGGACTGAGCATCACCTCTGCCAAAGGGCTGGGACAGCTCAGCTGAAATCCTTCCTCACCAGAAGCAGAGGGGACACGGAGCGGCTGATGTACAGGATCCCTCCTGTGTAGGTACCGGCCAAAGCCGCTTCCTTCCTGCGGACGCTCAGATTCATGGCTTGCTCCCAGAGCACTGATGCTCGCAGTGCTCGGAGGCTGTTAGTGCTTTCAGCCGTGACGCGGCATCTCCGGCTCTCACTAACACACAGATTCAAGTGGAGCATGCTGAGTGTGTCTGCCTCTGCTCCATGGACCACATTTTCCTCCTTCCTCCCTTTTAGAGACTGCAATATTCCCTCCCCTGCTTGGTCAGAGACAGGGCAGGGTTGTAAGACAGGGAGAGAGACCATTCATCCAGCTTATGCTTAGCCTCTGAGCGGGGTTTGCTAGAATTAAGGACAGGGAGGGGAGGGGGAGAAAAAAAAAAAAATCATACATGAGGTCAGCTTATCCAGCCACGCGTAAGGAGGAGCACGGCAAAGGCAGCCTCAGTGGGTCAGGCAGCCGGCTGGGGAGCATCTTTGGGGGCTCCAAGGGAGAGGGGGAGAGGCACCAGGAGCTGGTGGGCATGCGCGGCGCCGGCAGCCAGGAGGGACCCGGCTCACGGCTCCCAGCCTAATCCAGGTTGTTTATCCCAGCACACACAGAGGATGAGAAGAAGCAGGCCATGCCTCCTCTATCTTCTCTGCAAGCGGTTTGTTCCCCTCAGTTTTGCATCTTTTGAGCAATTAGCCCAGCACAACGAAGCACTGCCCGGTCAGACTTCTCTACCCGTTCACATAAGGCACAGCATTACTGTTTTCTAATGGTTCTGCTTCTGAGAGTGTAAATTATTGCACAAAGCAGTGAAAAACCAGCAGGCTGTGCTAGGGATCCGCTGTCTGGAATGAAATTAGAGATTTTGGTCCCCAAAGTCTCTGTCTGATGGCCTGAGCTCGGGCCCGGGAGTCACTAGAGCCACGTGTGAGTTATGGGCTCAGCCTCCATGCTCTGTGCAAGTCACCTCCGGAGTCTGAGCAACAGGAATTATTGTGCACGGAGATAATTATTCCCTGCATACTGCACTACAGCTCATTAAAAGTTTGTTAATGTTTGCGAATTGCTGAATAGTGTTTTTCATTGTTGCCTTCTCTGATCTGACTAAAAGGCAGATTTTGATGGTGACTTGTTCTCTGTGTTATTTTGGTCACAGCAGGCTGGGGCTGCGCTGCACGTAGGGAAAAGGGTTTGTGTTGTGCAGCTTTACACCACGGGAGAAAACGCTCTTGACTTTAGCACGCTGCGCAGGGGTCAAGGGGCTGAGCCCCACCAGTGTTAGCGATGCTTCTCCATCTAAAGCTTGAGACTGTCCTCTCTGCCTCCAAGTAAATGCCTACATCTGAGTCAATCACTCAGATTTCTGAAAAAGTATGTGTGACTCCTTACTGGAGTCTCAGCTGGAGACGTTGACTTACCATTAAACGATCTGTGCCACTGCAGTCGGATGGTGGGAGTAAAGTATCTCTCATCTTGGAATAGAGACTGCAGATCCACCTTGGGCGAGGATGTGGACATCGTAACCCCAGCACCAGATACCTGGGGAAAGCAGCTGAGTTCAGTGAAAAAATCCTGCAGAAGGAACAGGAAAGGGGTAACTTGGCCCAGCTTCACCTCTACGTTTTCATGCACACGGACAGCACTACGCCAGGGGCAAGGAGGAGTTGCAGTAATACCTGACAGCTCTTCTCCTGTCTTCCTCTTCCAGGTGTAAATGCAACCTCCACGCTAACCTGTGCACCTTCAAAGAGGGCAGCCTTCAGTGCGAGTGCGAGCACAACACCACAGGGCAGGACTGCGGCAAGTGCAAGAAGAATTTCCGCTCCAGGTCTTGGCGAGCAGGATCCTACCTGCCTCTCCCCAACGGGTCCCCCAACGCATGTAAGTAACCTGCAGCGAGCCAGCCCTGGCCGCACTCCCACCTTGGGCTGCACAACGCCCACAGACGGGAGCGGAGTCTCGTCTTGCCCTTCTCCATCAGTGCAGGATGCTCAGCTTTCAAAAGGGAAGCGGGTATTTACCCGTGTCTTGGTACACAGAGAAATGAGAGAGGATCTGGGTGGATGCAGAGGTGATTTGTTGGCTACTGGTAGATGAGTGATGAGTCCAAATGATGGTCGAGAACGGGAAGGATGACCTTGGGCCAAGATATAGGTCCATGGCTTTGTGGCAATGCAAATTACTGTCCTTTGAAGAAGACATTATTTAGCCACAGTAGAGCACTGACTGTGGGGGGCTCGTGGGCTCAACGCTGGCACTGCTCAGCTGTGGGAGTGCAGGTTGCTTTCTGGATTGCTTTCTGGCTCCCGTTCTGTGTGTGTCGGTATTTCAGGCAAGCGCGGCGAGCTGCGGTCCCTCTGCGCAGCTCCAGTCTCATCCAATTGCCTGCTGGAGCAAGGCACTGACAGAAGCAAAGGCGCGCAGATGAGATGAAGGATGCATACCCACCATTGTTCGAGCAGGGGAATTGGGGCAGGAGACATCACAGATGGGCCAGTTTCTCCTGGGTTTCTGTCCAGTCCACATTAGCAGACTTGTTTAAATGTCGCAGAGCCACAGTAGCCACTCCAGCCTTTCAAACAGCAGCTTTGAGCATTACCAAAGAGAATCTTTTCCCTGCCGCCCCCCAAATTTTTTGAAAGATTTATGTGCTTTAAGATGATCAAAGCCGAAATTCAGGCTCTGAAGGCCGTGATGGGAATGTTTTGTGTGTGCCAGGGCTGGTAGATGAGCAGGTTCTTTGAAAGGGAACGAGCTTGTCAGCTCCCACCAAGCGGCTGCATTGCTTCAAAGGAGCCTGGGAGAGTTTCTGGTGTTGACAGGCACAGACATGCTGTTCTCTCTCTT